TGCGCTGAAGTTGCGCGAATATTGTAAATGAAGCCCGCCGACGACGTTTGAATGCGAATAATGAAAACTTGAATTTGCAAATGATTTGAGTCATTGATGTTGACGAACAATGAGGAAATCAGATTGAAATAGTATATGAAAGGGTTTCACAGCTCTGCTTATTTAATGAAAGGGCCAAGGCAAACTGTTTAAAAGCTAAACTTTAAATTTAAATTTTCCGTACTGAAAAACAAAGCATTTAATATTGAAATGCAATCATAAAACTGCAAACAATTCTATTCATAATATAATGAATAGAAACAATCAACAGAAATGTTATTTATAAATTTATAAAAATATTTGATGGTGCCTAGTTTACTTATTCTTGTGAAATTTAACCATCAATAATAATTATTAAAACAATCCATTTAAAAAGCATTTCATAAATATCAAATTATTTCACAATAAAAAATACTTAATAAAAAATTTGTAAAGATAATTTTATTATTAACTGTTTATTCTACAGCAACTTAAATTAAGTTCAACCTTTCTTCAAATATTCCTTTCATATCCCAACCTAAGCTAATTACATTGTTGGAACAATCATTTTAACATTGCAAACATTGTAACAGCCGAAATACAAATCTCATTTGGCCTGCCATTTGTAATGATAACAATTTAATTCAATAGAAATAGTTTTGTGAGCTTACGGATACCTATGGAACATGACGTGCCTGGATAGCAAAATCAATTTTCTACCAAATGGCGGAGTGTGCGGGGGTGCCAAACAGGTGATCATTAGATTTGGCAAGTCGCAAACGATTCGCAACGTATTTACAACATTGAATCGACATTATAACGGAATGGCTGGCTGAATTGAATTGAATTATTATAACAGTTTCTGTTGTCAACGCTGCCAAACGTGTTGGTGTGTTGGTGTGCGTGAGTATCTATGGGTTCGCGTCAATAATGTATCTTTGTGTTTGTATCTCTGTTCGTATCTGTATCTGTGGCTGGCAAGTACGTGACAGACGCGGTTTGGCGCGATTAAATTACGTTTATGATTATATTTTGTTACAAACACAATGCCATCGCACACACGCACACATCTATACTGTCATAAACAAATGGCTCACACACACAAACTCAATCAAGAGGGCCATGTCACATTGTATTGAAGTGAAAATGGTTAACAATTGCGGCGGGAACAACAACAATGCGCCATTGATGCATGTTTGTGATGGATTTTCCTATTAAACGTTCACTGCGCCCAACTAAACAAAAGCCTTAATTGAATTTTAATTTAATCAAGAGAAGGTTGCACTGCAGGAAACACACGATCCCAAATCAATCAAAGCAATCGAGGTGAGTTGATTGAAATTATATCGATTTTTATGTTCTTAATTCTATAAGCAAGTAGGAAATTATGAAATTTTATTGACAAACTGGTGCTCATGAAAATTAGCTATAATAATTGTATTGCAAGATGTCAGTGAATTCCTAAGACTTATTTATTCGAGAAAATGCCCAATACAATTTTTTTACCCTTGTATAACATTTCCAATATTGTACACTATATGTAAGTTTACCAAAATGAATTTATTAATATTTTTATTTTTTCCTGAGAAGCCATCTTTACTTAAACAACTAGCACTACATATATTTTTCAAATCCAATAATTTCTCATTTATGCCGACATTGTTTCCATTTCCTTTTCCCTGTGCATTGTTAATTTTTCACTTACCCTTCGACATCCACGAGATTAACCGCACTTTATGCAAATGGGATGCTCAAACACTTCTGGCAATCTCAACACATTCGTGCTCCAAGGAGCCACTTGAACTGCACCTCGAAGTCATCCTCTCGATGCGATGCCTCCCTGCCATCCTCACTTCTTCGGCCTCCTGACATTAAATATCATTCCGGCTGACGCTTATTGCTTATTGCCAACAGGAGGGGGTGGCGGAAGCGAAGGCAACAAAGGATGTGGCAGTGGTGCTTACACATAATATGAAATTAATAACAATCATACGCCACGTTGCCCGCCTGCCTGCCAACCAACCAGCTAGCCCGACTGGAGTTTGCCATTTGCCACTGACAGGCGCATTTGGGTTCATAAGTTCTGCTCGCGAAGATTTCTAAAACTGTCAGAAATTGCAGTAAAATTACGCAGGACATTGGCGGAGAAAGGGGGGTACTGGGGAATGAGAGGCGGTGGAGCGCAGCTGCCAGAACGCTTATTAAAATATAAATATGCTAAAACAAAAAGCGCGTGCAGACGAGAAATGGACGAAGGGCTTTCGCCCAGCGAAAACAAAACAAAACAAGGCAACACAACACGGAGAGCACCGGGCAAAGTTAAAAAACTAAAGTTTTATACTATAAAATAATTTCAACTACTTGAAATAAGCACGCGCGCCGAGAACGAAGGGTGAAAATCTCGAGATGGGGGAAGGGAATTCAACAACACAAAAAAAAATAAAAGAACAAAATAAATAAAATAAGAAACAAAAAGCGAAAACAAAAATTTACTACGCAACACAACTAAAGTGGAAATTTCATGCGCGCTGTGGAAACTTTAGCACTTTCGCCCACCGCCCGGAAAACTGCATCTCCATCCCCCGGGAAACTCTGACAGCCAAAAACAACAACTACTTACCATGGCAAGGCAGAAAGCAAAGTTGTTCCTTGGCAAACAATGCGCAGTTATTCTTTTGGCGAATTTCGGACCAAGGTTATTTCGATATGTATTATGCAGTCGCTGCCCGAGCTAAGGAATCTGCGTTACAGAAAATATTTAAAAACAAACAGGGGCAGTGGCAGTGGCAGGAGAAGCAGCAGCAGTCCATGGACTTGGCTAATACATTTTTGATGGACTGCCGGGCGATTTTGGGGGTCTCTCGGAGCTATCATTCGATTTTCATTAGTAAATGCACACAAAGAATACCCTAACTTCGGAACGAGCGAGTGCATTTGAGGCGCAATTAGGCAAACATTCTGGGCGGTGTATTTTGAGGAGAGGCAGCGCAACAACCACTCCAACAATCAATCAATTAGCCAATTAGTCGGCAAACTCATCACGCTCATCAATTCCCATGCAAAACTAACTAATTTGCGCACACAGCTAATCAAATTTAATTAAGACATCCAGCAAACATCGTGGCGAGCCGAGAACCAAAGGCTTTACGCATACGCCTCCTTTTACCTGGGAACAATTGAGGTGGTGTAATTAGTGGCTGCTCCTGAAATACCAATTTAAAATAAGAATACAACATAAATGTTATACGAAGAAAATATATTTATTTTGAATTAGAAAGGTATTCAGAATTTGTTTATAGTATAATATATATAGAGATTTCAACTTTTTCAAATTTTATTTTGTATTATGAATGGTGTCTACTTTATTATGTTATATTAAATATTTTTAATACAAATAAATTTTAATTACTTGATAACATGGCGTATACTTAATGTTTAATTCAGCATAAAAGTATGCTGTAAAGAATACAACATTTCAAAATGGCGATCATGGTGTTAACATAATGTTAATTTCTGCCTAAAAGTATGCAAAATAAAATATTGATTAAAGGCCTCTTGTAACACGGCGTATACTCAATGTACAATTTTGCCAAAAAGTATGCCACATAAATGTCACATAAATGTCACATTTTTGCCTGAGGCCCACATGGCGTATACACAATGTTTAGTTGTGCCTAAAAGTAGGCACCAAAAAGTAATTTTTAAATTTCACCACGTGCAAAGTATCTGCTCCTATTTATAACATTTTGACCGCAACTGTTCCCAAACAATCTACTGGGGCTCGAAGCCCATTGTCTGTTTGATTTACCGGTGAAATATGGTCTTTGTACACGAAAGCAGGCCAAACTAAACTCGTTTCAAGTCCAAACATTTTCGGTTATCAATGCAAATGCGTTGCGTTGGTGTTCAGCGCCAAAAAGTGGGCACCACCGCAAAAAGGCTTACCTGCAGACAATGCGTGCCACGCCCCCGCGGCATTCATCGGCCGTAGATATATATGGCAACGACTATATATCTCCATGGCCAATGGCTGTTCTTTTGTTTGGAACTTTTCAGGCCCGGTGTTACCTGCCAACTACCTGCAGTTGCGTGTAGGTGAATAAATGAGATGGGCGCGGTGCTTTGGGGCTCTGGCATTCCAGCGAATCGGTCGGACCTCGGGCAATTTTAGAGTTCTTTTATTACCAACTTGTTAGCTGTTTATTTGGCGCATTATTGACTCAACCGCTACCCGAAAAACCCAAGCAATTCCAGGAACCAGGACTACTAGGCCTAGTGCGCCCGGATTCGGATCCGGATACGGAGCCGTGCGTTTAGATAATCAACTAAACACTTCATTATTCCGTCCGGAGGGTGGTGCAAATTGCTTCCAATACTCCCCCCCTTTTACGAACGGGGGAAATGTGCGAAAATCCTCTGGTTTATTTCGCGTATTTTCCATGCACGCGTTTTCTGTTGCTTTCCTCCCTTTTTTTAATTGAATGATAAAACATCGCTGCACACAGCCCATTCTGATTCGCAGTAAGAGGCATTAATTTAGATTAGCGAACGAAAAGTGCGATCTGAATGTTCTCAACAGGCTTTCTGTGTGTAAATAGTTGTTGAAAGGCCCAAGCCCATTGAATTAGATTGCATGCATTAGATATCTGGGGAAACACCCCCATAAAGGTGCGGACTGAATGGTTCCCTAATAGTTAAGGTTACCATTAATTTGCAAACAACATTTGAATAAGTGGAGATAAGATTTAATGTAGTTGTGCGTTAAATATATAGAACGGAAATATTTAAAAGGGTTATGATAGCCTGTTCACATTTTAAAGGTATATCTAGAACAATTTTGAAAGAATTAAATAATTATTTAATGTTAGAAAACAAAAATAATATTGACTCTCTAGATATTTAAAGACAAAAGATATTTGAAGACAACACAACCTCTCCTATATTAAACAATTCAATCTCAAAGTATGCTTTAAACACCTCCTTTATTTAGTACACACTTCAGTTACCAATTATAGTTCCCACCGGAAATACGATAATCTTGCGCGCGCCATTAATTTGCAGGGTTTCATAGTGATAGCCCCGATGCATGCAAGCGCTATACTTTCGCAGCTCAAAGGCACGTTTGATGGGCTCCATATTCACCCTGAAACAGTTGATCTTAAAGGTATCCAGGGCATTCATCATGCCAACGACTTCAAAGACGCTGGATACCCGTTCATTCCAGATGCTAACCGATGCAATGGGCAGAGGATATTCCTTGCGATAGATTCGAGTTGCCTCAAAGGGTGTGCGAAAAATGTGCATTGTGATAATGCCGGTGGGTCCTTCGCCCAAGAATTTGTGGGGAATATCCCGCACCAACATGGGCGTGGCATCGGGCAGTACAAAACCAGGAGGACCAACGACAGTTTTTGGTTTCAGTTCGGCAATCTTAAGAAGGGTGCGCTTATAGCAAGGGTGATTGGCCACCCGGGAATCCAATGGTTTCATGAGAGTCAACACTCTACCCTCTAGTTCTTCTACAAGACTTTCCTGTACCAAAATCACGGCTACCGCATCCAAGGCAAAGGGATCCTGCAGAGATTCGACGAGATGATGAAGGGCACAGTTCAGATCGCCATCCTCGAAGAGAACCATCATGCAGGGAGCATTCCAGGCGTACTTTACTTCTCCTTTCTTAGACTCCTCCGGTTCCTCATCCTCATCCTCCTGTTCCGTTTCAGTTTCCGCTTCCGATTTATCTGCATTATCTTCTTCTGCCCAGTCTCAGTAGATTTTCATCAGCTTTACTATCTCCTTCAGGATTTTTAATTTCCTCTACAATATCGGGCAAGGTTATCTTGTCGGTTATTACGCTTGGTAAGATTTGCACCATTTCTCGAGTTATAACCGGTTTAACTACTACTTGATAGTCATCCATAATTTTATAGATATTTTGCAATTTTCATAAATTATTTTTAAATTAATTGTGCTAAGAAAACAAAAGAATACTAGTGTTGATTTGTTACGCAATGAAATATGATATCCCATTATGTTAAAAAATACTTAATATAATAGAACTATGGAGAAGAATAATAATCGCCAAATGAATTTAAAAAAGAAAATCATGTACAAAAAATGTCCAATTTTAAAAAAATAAAGAATAAATAAACATTTTAATGGTCATGAGTAATGTATAAAAATTGATTGGCCCGAACTTGTGCTCAGCTTATTAACGTATAAATAGCTTTACTTTTCTCGGCCAAAAATGAAACTCAATTATCAAGAGAGTTTGCCTGAGACCTACGTTTTTTGGCATATGAATTTGCGATTTTTCGAAATTAACAAGCCTTCGTCAGTAAACAAATCGCTTGCTAAGCTCACCTGTACGACATGAACGAGAAGCCTCGGGCAAATAAATATTAATGAAATGCATTTCATCAGCGATACCAAATTACAAAATGTGACTCCACTCGGAGCAGACCTAAGGCCAAGTTAATTCTTGGCCGGACTTCACAAAATCTTAAATGCAATTACGTTCAGCATTTGTCCGATCTGCCTTTTGGTTTTGGGCTGCAGGAGCAGTTAAGCTCAAGTTGACCCATTGTTAACTAATTGACAAATGAATGACTTGATTTGCTTGACAGCATTTGATTCGATGCTGCTGCCGAAAATCGCAGCCAGGACCTACAACTGAGAACGGGATGAGCTTGAGCCCGAGCCAGGACATGAGCATTTTACACTCATTAAGTTTAATTACATATTTTACAGGGCCGGTTTGGGCATTCGAGGCACAAGTGCCTGCAGATGGATGAAGATTATCTCAGTTGAGTGGAACAATGGAGCTCCCTTTGTGTCTGACTATATTCAAAACTTAATCAACCCTTTACACTTTTACAGAAGGGCATGAACACTTTGTTAGGAAACAAAAATGACATTGTACCAGTAAATTTAAATCGTAATTATTCAAGTGTCAAAATGTAAGAATCTCTGGTAAGTTCTGAACTACATTTTATTTAAGTTTTTTATCTTCTTATACCATTATAAAATTAACCTTCTTTATTAACGATATTACGTTCCTTGGATTTGTCTTCGTCGAAGTCATTGAAATCCATAAATTATTCGGCATAATTATTTGATTACGTATGACAGCCTTAATTATGTTTAAAATGATCGATTGTCTGTTTCACCCTTTAAACAGAAACATGTCATTATGCGTCAATTTTGCTTAACATTTGGCAAACTCAAAAGATTCCAAAGGGAACCAGTGCTCCTTACATTTCCCCCATCAGCATACATTTTTTGGTTCGATGTCGGGCCGTAGGATCGTAAAAACGATGCTCGTTAGAGGCAAAGTTTTAGGCTTTTTATTACACGACCCGGGATGCCATGTAGCGCCCTCAAAAGCAGGTTCAGTGTTGTCAAGTTGGCTTATTTTTATAGCTCGCTAACTTTTTTAGAAACTTTATTTTTTATATAAATTATTTCTAATAATTAAAATGTTTATTGATAAATTGAACATGGGTTTTAAAAATGAATAGCTAATTTTAGTGGTATAGTAAAAACGAGGCTCATTAGAGGCAAAAACTTAGGCCTTTTTTACGCGACCCGGGAGGCCATGTAGCAAACTAAATAACGCGTTTCTTGAAAACAGATTCTGTGTTGATAAGTTGGCTATTTAAATTTTTTAATTTATTTACAAGGTCTTACAAAATTATAGCTTAATTTATTTGTTTTCATTCTAAAAGTTAAAACATAAATTTAATTATACAAAAAACTTTTTTGTTATTGCTTGTAAGACATTTGACTTTTTTGACAGCACTGAGCAGGACCCCCAAAGTCTCCCGACGCACGTAAAACCAAATCAGGCGAATGGAGAAAACGTATTTTGTGGGGTTGCCAAAGCTAGTAGATTTTTATCCAGACCGCGCTGCATGATTGCATTTTATGTTTGTCTTAATTTTTTATGTCTACTTTGCCAGTGCGAGGCCATAAATAAAGCAACAATCAATTTTCATACGCACTCTTGTGCGACATCGCACGCAACTGGAACTGGAGTCGTAAAAAGGAAGGCGACCGAATTGTAATCGTATATTTTAACATAATATTATTGCACACCCAGATGCGAACAAAACTGGCATTTGTACATCCAGCCCATCCCCACTCACTTAAACATCATTAAATATGAAAATTCATCTGCAATTTATCAATTATTTATTTATGGCAATGTTCCTTTTGCATTTTACGCATGTGTTAATGAATAATTTTCTCGTTTTCCCCGTTGCTTGGGCGTTGCCCCCGACCACGCCCCCCTGTGTTAACCATTGTGCGTGACTGGATGTAAGTATGTGTCCTGTCCGGTTCTGTTCAATCAATTCGAATTCGCTTTTGCATTTTTATTGCACTTTGCCGGTATTCCAAAATGCGAATAAGATTTATACGACTATAAGATACCCGCTATTTAAATCGGTGTATCTTGTATGCCTTAAATATTGAAATCACTATAAAGGTGTCTAAAAGTATACTGTACAAATAAAACTCAGAAATTTATTGTTGCATACTTTTGTACACTTATACATTTTTTTTAATTTAAATGATTTCTTTAACAGTTTAGAAAGATTCGTGCTTAATTTTTTTGATGAAACTATTTTGTATTATAGAAGATGTACTTGTTTAGCAAGCGAAGACATAAATTTAGAAGTTATCAATTTATTCGATACCCACTACTTAGGACTCTTATCCATAACTTCTAGCAAAGATAATATATCTAAGTACTTAACAACTACCGTGCATTAAAAAACGACAACATAAATACTGCATTCTGATGAAAATCAAGCTGAGCTCGAGAGTCCAGGCCCCATTTCTCAAATGTCGCACATTAATGCGCATGAAATTTTCGTTGTTGTGCGTTATTTTTATTGCACAAAAGAGCAGCAAATTGCATGCGGGCGAATGTGTGAAGACAGCAGCTGCCAACGAGTACAGTAAAACAAACCAAACCAGAACCATTGTTATATGGCGATTCTCCACCTCTCTTTAGCCAGTCAGTCAGTTTATCTGTGATCCACGGATGGGTCGTCAACGCGGCATTTTTCAATCAAAATACACACAATTTGCAATTTAAATGTTGATTTCGTTAATGCGGCGAATAACTCAATGGAATGAACACATATGGGCCCTGCTTGGGGCTTTGGCACCGGCTTTGTTATTGAACTGAAATGAATAGTTTATGTAGAGTCCGCACTTGTGGGTTGTGGACGGATGGATAGGTGGGTTTTGGATGGGTTGGGTTTTCGGTTTGGATAAGTGCCGCGAAATTCCCTGCCTGGCTGCGTTTTATAACGAAGATGAATTGTAAATTGCATAGCAAATGAAATCAATTTTAATGGACATTGCTTATGTATTCGACAAATGCTTATTAAGCATTCATTATAAACGAACCGCACTTTTATGTGTGCACGCGCGCATTGGAGCCATAAATTGTGAGAAAAGTATGGCCAGTTAAGCGGCTTATCAATGTTTGCAGATGTGTTGCCCATGGTAATTGAGTGCTGTTAAATCCGCTTCAAATCCATGTCAACCTATAAAGAATTAAAACTGACCTTGATTAAGTTTCGGCATTTGTCATCCTTATATCGTATTAATCAGTTTTTGAGAAGATAAATTTGATAAATTATCGGGCTAATAATAAACAGTATTACATATTTAATAAACCTTATGGCACTATATTGGGTTTTTAGACTATCATAAAATATTTGTAAAAATCATGGCAACCTAGAGAAAATATAGTCTACAGCAAAAAACATTTTATAAATTTGTATAACCTTTTTAAAAAAAATTCAGACAGTTAAGTTCTAACCAGTGTCCTAAGACCTTTAAATTTGCAACCGCATATTCTGTGATACATTTAATCAAAAATATTATTCAATTCCTTAGTAAGTTCGAAATGTTTAAACATTAAAGGGTAACTATTGCTAATTTGCAAAATACCAAGCGACCTTCCGGCATAGAGTGATCCACCCTTCCGCAATTATTAGTCAACCAGACCCTTTCGCTGTTCCATCAGCCATCACAGACCATTTGACAACTTGCTCAACACTTTCCGTCGCAACTACGCAACTTGGCGCGTGGGCAACTGAGTGGGTGACTTTGACGGGCTGAGTGAGTGGTGCAGTGAGTGGTTGAGTGGTGCAGTTGGCTTGGCCATGGCCATGTCTTCGGTCCTCGGTCGTCAGCCATCAGCCAGTCAGGCAGCAAATGAGCAAAGGGAAAATTACATTTGGGACGCCGGCGAGTCGCCTCCATTGGCATGCAGCGCCAATGCACAAGTTTTTTCCGCTCTCCCACTGCCAGCCATCGAGTGCAAATTAAACCGAGCAGCGCACGAGGTTAATTTCACATGCATTTCACTGGCAATCAGTGCGTGCTCCACTCAACGGGTAATGCTACACGGAGAGAAAATGCTGGCAAGCGGATGTCATCTACCTTTTCAAAATGACCTTTTAAATATCAAACGCATTAAGTTTAGCATATTGGTATACATTTTTTATGCAATTACTATAATATTTAATTATATTTATGAAGGTAAGACTAGCCAAAGCATTCTCTATATATAAACGTGTCGTTAATATTTTAAAAATCAACGCTGCGATCAAAAGTGTAAGGCTTAAGTGCTTAAATTTTCCCTAATATTTTTACTGTAGAGTAGGTTCACCCTAAAACACATTTTTACTTAACTTACTCTAATAAGCTCCAAATAAATGATATACATGAATATATCCAATGCATATAATGAGTTCCACATGCAAAAATCAGTAGACACCCGAGTAAAATGAATATTTTTTATTCTATTTTAAAACCAAAGAATTTCTGTGAGTGTACAACTGGTATTGGTGGTGCCAAGCCCCGGGTGGCGATGGCGGTGCTGCTGGTGGCACTTAGCCCAAGCTACTTACACTGCGCTTTGACTGCCTGATGACTGG